TTTGTGAAAAAGATATTGGATGTTGGATAATCCATACTCAGACTTTTAAAAACTTTACAAAATCCACAAATGTAATTTACCTTTAATTCTGTGTGGCACTGTCTGTTCTTATGCTCCGTCACGAACGTAGCTATTTTGAGGGCAATTTATAAAACCGGAATTAATCACCGATAACCTTCTTGTTCACTTAAATGAAACCAGTGCAAGGCTAGAGCACCCTTAGGAACGATGCGTGAATCCAGGAAATAAAGCGCATGATATACCCAGGCATGTCATGCAAACACCGCAGGCTGCATAATTACTAGACTATTAAAGGAATCCATCAGAGCTCCTGGTACCTTCAGTACCTCATAGACTTAGGAGAAGTGGAAATCAGTTATTCTTTCCTCAAACTTCAGTGAGAGATAAAACATATTCAAACTATTTGCAGTAATCTCAAATTACTACAAAGCCTAGTAGAAACAAGAAAGTTCATTACCATCAATAAATCTTTTCAGGAAGCGCAACACGGCTTCAGGATAGATTGGCATTTTCATTATGGAACAGTACTAGGACGAGTAAGTGCTCGTACACTCACTAACCCCGGACTTTAACACGAAATTTGATTCTGTGCCGTATCCGTAAAAATCACTCGAAAGGGGTATATGTATCGGCATGTTTTTGGTTAGGGAACAACCTGTTACTGTCGATCTATGACACTGGGCAAAACAAGATTTACCTCAAATGACTGTCCCTCGGAATCTATATAGTCCTTGATTAGCTATTGTTTTGGCTCTTTTGATTGCACCAATATGTATATTATCATGACTAACTCTTGTTTTTCGACCTTATTATCTTGTCTTTGACATTGTTCACTACGCCTGTACTTATCGTCATTTACCTAATTGTATTCACTGGTTAGCATTTTTGTACCAATATCTTTAATATGATAGAAGTGTGATTAAATATATTACTCTCGCAGTCCGCTCTGAAACCGAAAGGTGTAGGTTCACACGCATCTCGCCCAGTCCAAGTCCAAAAACGATAATTCTGGGAAAGAACGGTACTATATTTAATCAAAAAAGGAAATTCAGACAATTACCTACACAATATTACACCTTCGAGTTTCTAATCACCACAGTAGGTTCCGTTACTGGAAGAATAAGTGCTTCCAGTAAGTTGCTGCTAGAGTATCAAATCAAAATATGGCTGTAACCATATAAAACATCAAATTTAAACAACATCTGTATAGTTCAGGAGGAAACATGGAAAGTTGAATATAAGTACAAGATATAGAAATAATAACAAGATACAAATGATAAATTCTGAAAATTGGATCAAATAAAGTACCAAAATATCGAACAGAAGAGTCATTCATATCATAACACAAATATATATACATGGAGGGGTTTTCCAAAAACAAAGCCTTCAAATAGATTCTACAAGCAGCCTTCATAGCAGACGGCCTAAAGAGTCGGCTGAATAACCATGCACTCAGTGACATTTTTTCCGACACCCGAAAAGGCCGTAACCAATGCAAGTCTCGTGCCTTCTATAGAAAAATTTCACTTCAATGAACCTTGATTCCAGAAACAGTATGAGTCATATACGCTCCTTGCCCAGACCAAATTCAAAATATAAGTTTCTGGGTAAGAACTGTATTATTATTAATCAAAAAATAAATACGGATAATTACTTAAACAATATTATACTGTTCCGATCAGAAATTAACACAATGAGTTTCCAATTCTAGAAGAATGCGTCCTTCCAGTCAAGAATACGACGTTACCGCAAAGGTATCAAATCTGATATGGCTGTAGCCATATTAAGTATCAATTCAAACAACACTTTTACAGTTCAGAAAGAAACATATAAACTCCAATAAAAGTACAGAAAATGGGAAACATAACAAAATACAAATAATAATATCCTAAATTTGGGACTAAACAGAGTACCAAAATATCGAACAGAAGAGTCAGTCAGATCATAACACAAATATATATACATGGAGGGATTTTCCAAAAACCGAAGCCTAACTATGTTATTTCTGTCACCAGTACCATTATCTGAACTATTATTAACTAATTCCTGCTCATCGCTCCACTTTTCACCTTCACCTGCCTGTTATCAAAAGTCTCGCGTCCGTCCAGGTGGTTTGAGCAAATCATTCATTTACTTCTTCATATTACTGTGTAACTCTTACTCCTTTACATCTATTACACTTTGTGACAAATCAGTGAAATTTCTAAAGTGACGTGTCCTTGTTGACCTACAATCATTAACAGGAAACAATTCAGTTTTCAATACGAGGTTGGGACCTTCAAACATTTCCGGGGATATAAACTTTGTCTCCATTCATTGGTAGACTGTCGAAGTGACAAATCAGACAAACGTAATCATTCCAAGTTGGGATAACTTCTGGCGATAGTATTTAGTTGAAAATCCCGGTCTCCAGCTATAAAATTGCGAAGAAAATTAAAACAATACTTTCTAGTGAACCTCGGAGTTGTATGTTAAATTCGGATCAGTCAACATAATACAAGTCAGGACGACACTCCCTCCCATGTTCCTGTACCTGGTAAGACAAGTAGACCAAAATCGGAATAGGGGAAAATGTCATCCTAATACTCAAATAGTACGATCAACTTTTCAAAAAGAGCACAAGGATGATTGTATCGCAAGCTCAGTGCCAGTAAAAACAAGCCCACTGTCACTACGATACTGGTGTACTTAAACAGTGCTTGGTCTCTTTGACGAATTCCGGCTGTAGTCCCTACCTGGCACTGAAAAACAGATGCACTGCCAAAGTTTGACCTGATAGAAGAGACTTCCAAATGAAGTTAACTGCCAAAGTGCAGGCAGACCTAAAATTACTGTTTAGGTTCATGACTGAAAGAAAACATTGGAACAAGGGTGTATGTGCACCTAAAAGTCCAAACGGCCAAGATTCCATCAACCTAGTGATGGCTAATATCTTCAATACTGACTTTACGATCAATTAAACCAAATACCTACACGTTTAGAATACGACTCAAACCTTGTGCCAGCTGACGGCCTAGGGAATATTCGACTTACTCCTGACTTAGTGCCGAGAAAACTAAAATCCCCGCGCCCAGAAAAGTCACCAGGATGTGACAATATTAGCGCTGTAGTCTTGAAACAGTTTGCAAAAGCCCTCACTCTACCGATCTGTGACGTTTTCAAGCATTCACTGAAGTCACACCAACTTCCGGTTGAATGGAGTAGGTAGGAAGGATCTGGCCTTTTAAAGCCCAGTCACCAACGTATCATAACGGTTAGAGATAATAGAACGACCGGTAAATAAGAAAATAAGGGAGTAAATAGATAGTAAACAAAATTATCCATGAAGCTCAACATGGATTTCGGAAAGGCAGTTCATCCAATCTTCTCATAGCATGAGGCAGCTGGACTAACTGCTAGGAATGAAAAATACCGGTCCACATAATATTCACTGACTTCACAAAACCTTTCGACACAGTATCTCACGTACTCCTGATCGCAAAGGTGGCGAAAATAGGCTTTACTGATCAACTCCGACCCTGGCTAAGAAACTACCTTGAGAATAGAAAGTTGCGCATATATAATCTCGTGAGCTGGCGAGTTTCAACATAAGGAGTTTCACAGGAGACCATCTTAAGTCCTCTACTCGTCCTGATATTCATTAATTATCTGTTGGACAAAATTAGTTCTGTGGCTTTGATCAGCGTAGAAGATGAGAAGATCTGGAGGTCCATTAGAAACGAAGATGATTCAAATGAGCTTCAAAAGAACTTTTCGTCCATTGAGCAACAGGCTGTGATAAACGATTTCAAACTTAACCATATGGGTTGTAACGTCATGAACATTCTGCCCATAGTGACACAAATGAATAAGACTCACGACATAAATCCGTTTTCTAATGTCTCCTCAGAGCGGGGTCTCGACCTCATAACTCCAGAAAGACTAGAAACCCGTATAAATTATAAAGGGGACGCAACTAAGGCTAACGCATCTCTTCACTTTATGGGAAGACGACTCAGTTCAGTCACACCAGAATTATTCTTAACGTTGTTTAGGACATACGTGCGACCACACTTTCATGTTCAAAATGTAGTTATACCCCTTCTCCTGAAAAAAGTGATGCAAACTATTCGAACCGATTACAAAGACGAGCAACTAACTAAGTAATAAAGATGAAGAATAAGCCTTACGAAGACAGAATGCAGCACTTAGGATTATTCTCTCTGAGTGTCAGGCAAATCATCAGTCATCTGATTATGGCGTACAACATATCAAGCACTCCAAATCATCCCGACATGATCAACTTACCAAAGCATAGCCACCTCACCTTTCGAGGTAATCCTAGAAAAATTGCATATCGAAGAGCAAACTCCTAGATTTGTGCACATGTCTTCTCAATAAGAGTTCTTGAAACTTGGAATGCTCTCCCACCCGAGTTGACCACAGCCTCCTTAGTGGACGGCTTGATAAACATATATTCACATGCGGATTAGCATCTCCCTCTTGGACCAGCTGTTCCTGAAGCATGTCTTGAGAGATGCTAGCCAATATTACTGCCATTTCCTCAGATGAATAACTTATTCTATCTTGTTATCTCTGTCCGCTCCGCTCGATTAGACTTTGATCCTCTCTCACAATTTTCACTACCAATTAATGAACTAAATTATCTATTTATTTGCTGAGTTCTGATATCTTGTTGTTAGCATTAGAATTTTCTCCTTATTATTCACCACATTGCAACCAACTAATTTCCAGCCTGGTAACGTGCTAGCTGCTGGGATCCAGAAAACCTACTCGACTGAAACAAATGCATTCATTCAAATCACAGGACATACAAATTCACAAATAACTGTCAAATAACTAGAATTAGTGCAATTAAGTAGCTAGACTACCAGCCATTGGACACTGAAAAATGCCTTTAACCACCCAATAAGAACAAGGATCGATCGCGAAGAAGCTATTCGGTTTATTATAGCTCGTGAAAAAGCTATTGGCATTGAATACTCTGTGAAGATTCGTCTCGCGCACATATTAACTGATGACCTTGAGCGAAAAAACATGTATTTCAGTTTCACTTGAATATGATCGCTCATCAGTCGCAAAATATTCTAGATGAACTCATCAAAGATTTTGGATGGACTCATGAGTTCCTTTCTCACGTGAGTTACGTCTTTATTTATACAGTATTAATATTCGTTATCATTTTGTCGAAGAACCAAAAATGTTGTAACTTTCTCCCTTTTTTAGGGCCACATATTTGGGACTACAGTTCTATGTGATTTTAATGTGCGTACGGACTAACCTGTTATTAATTTTGTGAGGATGGTTGCTGTGTTCAGAAACTATTTTCTGACTCTAAATTAGTTGCAACTCCAGGAAAATTCTTGGGTTTGCCCAAAATGCTTTGTAATTGCGCCAATGTCAGTGGAAGTTTTTGGGTTTTCGGCTGCTTCTTGGCGCAATTTTCTCGAAGTTTACTGTAAGAGCTTTCCTAATATAGTTCGAGTTTTCTCAAAGTTGGGAGATTTCAGGACAGTCAAGTATTATAAGAGAAAGAACTAACTCATTCCAGTCCCGTTTGTCTCCCTTCCTCAAACCCTTCGGTTTACTAACGCCCCCAAATCCATCTACTAGTTTCTTCAAATTTGCCGTCGTTTTGGGTATACGACTATTCATTTACAGACACCGTATTATTGTTACATAAACTTTTATACAATAACAATAGTCCATAGTATTGAAACGAACTTCCTTAAAAGCATCAACTGTAGACAAAATATATGAGTTGAAATAAGGTACGAGGACAAAGCAACCAACTTTCATATAGCACCTTTTGAAGTTATGCGCATAACTCATTGATCTATTTGGTCAGTGCGCTATAGCTGGTGTCACTTTATGATGAGAACTCCAACTTAAATTTGGTATCGTGAATCCCAATATGAATTCATAACCTTAATTCATAACCATGTTTTAAACTGAATGAGTAACTGCTTTTTACAACCTCCATTGTTTGTCCCTTTACTATTAACATATGTAACTCATGGTGTAGACTAGATATTAGTTTTCCAGTAAAACACTTAATCACAACGGTATTGTCCGCTGTGTATTATCTGTTGTAAAATCTAGTCAGCAATTATGTATAGTCGAATAGTGATGTGTGAGACCAAATCTGAATAGTCTCTGTATTTTGCATATCGTTGTTTTTTCTTCTGTACACATTGTAGTGCCTAGAAATCAATGACCAGAAAACTATATCATTCTGATTTTCAGCGAATCAAATTTTTCCAATATTTCGTCTTTAATATAATTTTCGCTCTTGGTCAAATCAAAATGTAGTGGCAAGAGTAGATGTCAGCAAGTGCTTTGCCTAGCCTTATTGAATTTAGACATAGAGTTGTCTGTTTAAAAAGTGAATCGACCAACCGAAATTTAAATGTACACCATTGGGGGCACAATTATAATTCTAAAGGTGGCTAAAAGCTAGAAACTCCCCCAAAAATTAATGCTGACTATAGAAATGATCAAGCAAACGTGTGATTCATTTAAAAACTCAATTACTGTTCTAATAAGCTTAAATGATTGTAGTATTTTTGGATAGTGCTTATGGTAAAAATTTTCTGTGCTAAAGTCAAGTAAATTGACATAGAGTTGGTCACAGTAATGCAGATTTACCCACTAATCCCATTTCCATATTTTTAAGATATTATCTATTCGGTTTTTTGTTTCTGCTCAGATTCAGCGTTTGAGTTTTCTGTTGATATGCTCACTCTTTTCTCTTTCTAAGTATAATAACCTTAATGACTGATCATTTCAAATGGAAAAAAGTTCCAGTATACTTGTTATGACCTTGTACTGACTACTAGGCAGATACAGCCTTTGAGTAACCAAAACACAGCAAGAACGAGGCAACTGATACTCTATGCTTTAAGCTCGGTCCACTACCGACCTACCCCTAGCGCTGAGGGAGAACGCAATACTTATTACCACCAGTTCAACATTCACTACAATACGTTACACGTTTCTTCTTATACATACGAAACCAGACCACCTCGCATCAATATGTTGGAACTAACAAGTATACATAAGGTTTCTTTCTTATGATGAAACTGATTGACACGTCCGCCTCAACGTACCATCCACAATTCTAAGGCTTAGTTTTTAAATACGCTGCATAGTTTTTCAATACAAGTTACTAAAATCTGTAATTTCTAATTTTCCTTCTCACATGCATAACAAAACAGAAAAAATCTTAACTTTTTCAAATCTTGTACTGTATCATTCACATTTGTTTGAAAAGTAAATATTCCAGCAAACTTAAATTCACTTGGTGAACTCACTGACAACCGGATTAAGCCATTTTAGTAGATGTAGACTACCTGGTTTGGGTCTATGAAACAATCATAACCGGTGGTTAGAAACTGAATGACGTGGCTCAAAATCGTGTACGCTGGCACAGATGCATCCATTCTTTGTCTTCTCTCAAATTCTACTCTTCTGGATTCCTCATGACCTTCATCTTTCTCCTCTCAAATCTATTTCACTGAATTATACTTCTCAAATCCTACCTTCAAACCATCTCTATTATTGCTAATACTGCTACTACGCTTACTACTATGTGGTCTTAATCGACAATTCTGTCTGTGTTTATGTGGTATGAAAACTTTAACTGATGTACCATATGTACTAACTGAAATTCACATTGTGGTTCAACAATATAACTCAAAAAGCTTCCGATTAAGTTTTCAACCAAAAAAATGGGAATTGTTAAATGAAATAATTACTTTAAAGTCATTGACATCCAATTTTGTTTACTTCCGTTAAAAATCATAAGAAATTTACTGTATACTACTTAAATGATAAATCCAGATGAATTTTCGCATATTTTCTTGTATATTTATATAGCCAGTCGAATATGAAAAATGCTCTTATTCACAAAATCATTGGGTTCCTGTAAAATCTCTCACAAAACACAATAATTTTTGTTCATTACGTCAACAAGGTTTTGTTAAGGAAGAGATAGTAAGTGTTTTTTTGTTGTCACTATTTGCATATTTTAAGTCAAGGTGAAAAAAATCCAGGAAATAAGTTTTTATGCTTTGCATCTGCAAATTACATTTTTTGTAACCTGACTATCATCCAGTAATTAGTGAGTGGACACAATTCAATCTTCATAAGATTTAGTCATCAACTTTACTATAACATCTTCGATACAAATGCATCATTCCTAATGAAGGATAGTTTTTCCTATAATTTGCTTTTTACTTATTTGTAACACAAAACCTTTTTGCACAATCGGGTTCCAAGGAATACGCTGCATAAGTTGAAGGGACAGTTTTGTTAAGGGATTGGAAGATATACAATGAGTAACCAAATAGGTAGATAAATTGCATAAATATTTTGCATTAAAGTATCCACTTCAAATAGAGATACTATCATAGTTGGTTTTATTCCTGATAAAACTGTTTACCCAAAAATATCTTATTGCAATCGCCATCGCCTTCAATCTGACATTCTCTTAGACTATTCAAACAGTCATAATAACACATTGGTCGATGGTAATATAGCTGATAATTTCTTATATCCTGGTTAAAATTAAATTGATTTTAAATAGAAATAACCAAACTCCATCGCTTATCACTCTAGTTTGTTTTTACTCGTATTGAACCTTCTGGATCAGTAGAAAACAGCAACCTACCTCAGTTCAAGTGTCCAAAGAAAATTTATGCAACAGGGTCTTCTCATAAGAAGATATGAGGCGTACTTTTCGATTAACACTTGAAAATGAATTTTCAGTAATTCCTTAGGACTTTAGTGGTGATCCTCTAATATATATATAGTTAATCCTCAACTAGGTGACTTCCCGTAATCAGTCACACCTGTAAGACGTGTCAAGGTACAAATTTTTGGAAGCATTGACATAGCCAACATATCATCATGCTTAAGAGAGGAGAGTAATCAATACATTTACTTGTAAATCCATTTCATAGTCATCACAGTAGTCACACTTCAAGTTTAATATAACCTACTCCAACGACAGTAACAATTATACACTTAATTTCCGTGTACTTCTTGTCTTAACAATCGAAGAAAAGGTTGTTATAAATTAGTGTCACATATAAAGAATCACCTGCTTTTACTTGATCCTCAAATCCATTTTCTCTACAGGATGCCATGATACCTAATGCTAATGTTTGTATTGCTGAATCTACACAACCTACATCTGATTGGACAAATGATCCATCTTGGATTACAAATATGCAGGCATTTTCCACAGATAAATCCTATCGATCATGTAAGTTAAAAAAAAGAAGTATGTTGACAATTAATTTGTATGATCTTACTATTGCTTTTCTATAGTTTACGCATCCAACCAATGTGTACTGCATGATTCACCTATGTGATTTGTACAAATTACTTCTGACTAGTTTGGTCTCGCATGCTGATACGAGTATGAAAACGGACGTCACTTCCCGGCTGCCCACACCATAAAAAGGTATTTCTAGAGAAACCTAACAAGGAAATTGGATTAGTGTTGGTCTTAGGGACCTTGGCGTGTGGCCGCAGAATCAACGGATAACTGCTTGAGGCCGGTCACACACGGCCTTTCGGTAGTAAGTTGTTGACTTGGCCTTACCGCCGGAGACGGAAATCCGTGAGGTAAGGTGAGGTGTGGCATTTTTAGGGTCGATCGTCATAGCTAACGGAGTACACTTCATACAATAAATAACTACAGTATGTTACTGCTAAACTGAAGTTGCTGTGTGTGGCATACCCGTTCTGGGCCTAATTCTGGCTAATATATCTTGGATAGATCCTCTTTTCTCAATACCTCAAACGGAATCCATTACTCCACGTGGTGTTCGTCAGGGTTATCCACTCTCTCCATTCTTACTTAACTTTATCACTGACATTCTTTTAAAGATGACACTACCATCGTCTGACTTTTCAGGAGTTGACCTCCTACTAGGAGATTCACTTGTTAACTTAGTATATGCAGACGATATATTTCTGTTTAGTAAAGACGTGGACAAAATGCAGTCGTCCGAATTAGGTTACTAGTTTGAATATGTATATTCCTTCCCTTTGGAAAGTGAACCCGTTTCTCAACCAATTTTACGCAGTCATCCTTCAAGACATTTCTAGTCGTTATCAAGTGACCTCGTCCGACCACTTCTTGCCTCACTATATCACAATTCATGTGGTCAAATATCTACATACTAGTTAAAATCGATGTATTTTTTTAGTTTTATGTAGATTATTTTATACTTACTTACTAATTAAGACCTTCCCCTTTACCCTAAGACCTTGGGAGGATCAGTAATCTTTGAGGGTTTTAGATAAAATCAGAATATTCCGTAAAAAGTATGATAAATATTTGTATTTTCCCAACTGTTCACTAAATAACAAGTAGTTAAAATGCTGAATGTTGTTTACTTCTGCCCATGAAATATTCCTAAATTAAAGCAAATAGAAACTTATCATTTAACAGGAAATAATGAATTTACAAAATAAAGGTATACGAGCAAACAGAGTAGATGAGTAGATCTGCATTATTTGTAACTGCAACCTTGCTTATGATAATCATACAAAGCCTAACCTGTTAGTTTGTATTCACCAACACGGCCCATCCCAATAGTTAATAAATTTAAATGCTGATACCAAGTTTTCGTATGGCTGACACTAATTTTCTTTCAACCTATTCCTACACTAACAATTATCGCCTATCAGTGTTACCAATAGAAGGAGTCAATCAGAGATGGACGAAGGGAAAGGTGATTCGATGACAACTAGAAATGTCCTGAAGGACGAACACATATCATTGGTTGGGAAATCAGTTCATTTTCTAGGAGTGAGGAATGTATATCCATTAATTGTATTTGCGTATATGATTCGATGGCCAAAAAGACTCTCTTCTACTCTTGCCTTCTTGTTCAAGTAGTCAATTTGGGGGCGGAGATTAATGGGCTTCACGTTCAGATCTCGGATAACCGCACATGTGTGTATTATTTCCCTCTTTCTTGATCCTTTAAAGAAGCAGTAAGTAGCAATAAAGAGAAATGTTGTCAAAGTAAGAGTATTGGTAAATATTTTCTGAGGATTTTTACAACAATAACAGTATTGTTTAAGGTTCTATCTAATCTGTCCTAAATTTTGGTTACTACTTGTTTGTTGATCTTAATGTTTTTCTTTTCGGCAATTTTCAGCTAACAGTTCATCACAAGATGTATCCAAATTAGAAGCTCTATCTATGATGCGTGATGCTAAACGACGTCGTCAAAGTTATCGAGGAATACATACAGCAAGAAAATCTTACACTGAAGTATGTGAATATATCTATACGTAGTGTTAATAAAAATATTTCTCAAGTTGGCCTAACTTTTTGAGCCAATCTTTCAATGGCATTCTCATGATTATCTTCAATGAAAGTGACACTCAGCGAGCTGCTTGAATACCTGAGCTACTTGTTTCTCAACAAATTACCTCTTTGTTTGTTTCTTTTAACACATCGATGACGTCTGTTAATCACATAATCTATTCAAGCGCATATATAGAATATTTACAACCTATCACTTCAAAAGGTACAATAAAAGTACAATCTGTGACATCACGTCGGCCGGCAATATGCATAGGAAAAGAAACTTGTTCAAATGTTCTGTGTTGAGAACTCTATCTTTGTACTAAACATATAATACTGAATAAAGTCATTATTATTATTATTATTATTATTATTATTATTATTATTATTCATAGTGGTTTGTATAACACGCTAGAATGATCTCATAAGTTCATTAATAGGTAAGGAAATGATAGCCATCTGTACAGCCTGTCACATACTCGTATTGCCTAAGTTTGAATTACTTCGGTTCGTGAGATAAGGAGGGCATTATCAAAATAATGATTAATGACATTTAAGAACCAATCATAGTTGTATGAAAGTTAGAATTATGAAAAAAATCTCGTGAAGTAGCACCACAACTCTAAATTCACTAATATGTGGGGCCTGCAAGTATTCTGGAATTAGGAGCGATTAAGCTCTAATAATTTAAACGCTTCTGTTGTGTGGACCAGTAATTTCACTTGATACAAAACAGTTCAACACTTGGTCTCAGACAACAAAAGATGAAATTTAGGAAAATTTGATAAATCGAACGAAACGATACGACTTTGTCTCTTTAGTAATAAAATCCTGACCATCAAATATGCAGAAGTTTAGAAAAGGATCAAAAACAGTAGCAATCAACCATTCGTAACAAAAATTTGAGTAAACTTGTGAATCCGCTTAACAAGATCAAACTTGGGAAACTGTCAAAACATAACATATCCGCGCGCTAATCGCGTTGATTTTGAACCGTTTCGACTAGTTTAGTTTTATTGAGGACATGTTATTTGAATTTTTTCTATTAACTAAGTGGATTTGTAAATAACACTCTAGTCACTTATATATACCTTAACTGTATTTACTACTTTCAATACGTAGCAGTAGTTTAATTTGTTTATGTAAATTTCGGTTGTCACAATGGATTGTCTATAGCTTCGGTAGGATTTTGTTAAACTCACTCTTATTGGAATGTAGTTAATCGTTCTCTTGCTCCGTTTCTCTTTCTTCCTCTTCCTTTTTTTCTCAGATATTACGTGAAATTATCGCACGGCAGACTGAAATATTGTCAACCAATCAAGAATCGTTAGAACACCAATCTGAAGATCAAAGAAGATCCAGGTGAATTAGAATGATTCTTTATTTTCAATATTTTTTCACCCTATTTTACTCATTTAAAATGAATGCTTATCCTCTGCCTAGAGACTTTCTAGTGTTATCACTGGTTCCAATCTCCGATAATCAAGGTGGGTTGGGCATGGGGTTGACGACCCCATCCCGTAGAAAACTAATTCGCTTAAACACAATACATTATAGCGGCTATGACTAAAGATTTACATAAGTAGTTGAATACTAATAATCGACCACATCAACTCAGATAAAGATACGGATCTAGGTTAGGCTAATTCCTTTCTCTCAAACATCCCATACTGAATCACTAGATGGCGATTCGTAAACCCACTAAATCTTATTGTTGTATCTTGTGACTGTTAACCAATAACATCATGTACCCAGTCACTGGTCGGAATCCTCAATCCAATTTAGTTTGTTTCCTCTATAGCTTAGTTTCCTCCAGACTGACCAATGATGACCGCTACTAATGACCTTAAAATGGGAGCCAGGCTCTGATTGGCCTAATATCCACTAGCTCCTCTCTACTACTTATCGTAAGCCCCAAAGTGGTAATCAGCTTCTATTATATTTCTATTTCAAATAGACATACCAGACTGCATCACACCAGAAAATACAAAATAAAAATTATACGTTAAAAGGCAATTGTGCAGGTGCATGTATTATTTGTGTTCTCTCAAATCCTAATCCTCTGAATCCCACATCACCCGTATCTTTTCTCCATTCGAGTTCATTTCACTGGACTATACTTCTTGAATAATTTCTTCAAGCCCTAATCTTCTCCATTACCGTTAATACTTCTATTACCTCTACGACTATGGGATTTGAATTGACAGTTAAATCTCTCTGTTCTAATGTGTTATATGGCAACTTGGACTGTTGTACGTACGAAGTTCTACGTTATTGCTGACTGACTGACGGATGGTTATAAATAACCGATTGGCAACAAAATAGTAGTTGAAAGCATCGTTATCTAGTTACAATACAATAAAGCTATACACTGATAAGAATAAGTTTGTCGCTAAAGAGGTTAAGCGCTAATAAAATACGTTAACGTTTTTTTTCGTCATAGAGAACTCGAAACCTTAGCTTTTCGACATATGTAAACTTAACACAATAATTTACATCAGCAACTGATGTCGGGTAGACAACCATTGATCACCAAAAGACCACTAGGTAACTGTTTCATTCTAGTGCGGAATTCCGCTATAGTGTATAGTGAATCTTTCCGGGATCTGAATCTAGACTATTGAGCTAACATCCATGTCTAGCGTCAATTCTTGATATTTCACAACGACTAATCAATCATTGCCTCATACTTGACATTGTTAAACTCCACAAGTCATAGCTTGTCATGACAAAACCCCTAGGGATTACACCTCTCAATCCACAGATTGCCTAATTATTTTCTATGAGTATAGATTGTTTATGTAAATGATTGAATGTTATAATTTACACAAGTGTGTTTTTACAATTTATTCTTCTTTTGTTTAGTAATTTTCATCATTTTTTTCTCTCTGTAGTAGTGTAGAATCATTTTCAAGTAAAACTGAAAATACTAATCAACGGAATCACTATTCACACAAATACAAAACAATGAATGCATCAAGAATACGACACTCGTCTCCTTCATGTTATCCGTCACGATCATCACGGTCACCATCAACATCCACAACAACAACTCGACATCATAGAAGAAACAATGAAACTTCTAAAGAAGCATCCAAATCATTTTTCAAAGATAAATCCCATCATCACCATCATCATTCATCAAGATCAAACAAAAGACAACGATCGGCGTCACGGTCACCGTCAACGTCATCTAGACATGTCACATCTAGTTCCACGGCAAACAAAAGTCGTCATCATGATCATCATGTTGATGATATTCGTGGTGATGACGATCATCATAGTAATAATAATAATCTTGATATCCCTGAAGAGTCTTCACAACATAAAACGTCGAAAAAACACAAAAAACACTCGAAACATAAACACAAGCATAAAAGTAAAAAATGAGCATTTCCATTGTGTTTTTTTCTTGTGATTTACTTTTTCTTACTATCTTTTTTTTTTGAAAAAAAAGGAAAACAATAAATTCTTTGAATGATACACTTGGAAATGAATGCTTAAAAAGTTAAAACACACCCGTGAAAACATTACCTTTTGTTACACAATAGATTCTATTCAACTAGCTAATGATATTGTCCTTGATTTCTCAGATTGTCTTATTGTCTAGAAATGTACTTATGTTTGTTACTCTTGATGAAGCATAGGCAACCGACTAGCATTCCTCTAACCAGCCCTTTATCCTGAGGACCGTCTGTTCCAGTTCATGCTATGGCTAACCACTATTCATCTCTCTACTTATCATAAGTAAAAGTATTCACAATCAAAGTTTATGTACATAAATAAATATCTCTGAATTGTTCGTTTCGTATCATACATCTTTTTCGCAAAAAAAATAATTTCTTCTTTAATTAATTAAAAATAAATTTTTCTATTTTTTTTATTTTCAATAATTATTATGAAAAAATAATAACAATAATAATAATAATACACTTTTATTATTTATGTCCAAAACTATTTTGTAGAATTTCTATTGTGCGTACGTGTACAAAAACACCCACTCAGAGTAGTAGTAGTAGTAGCAGCTGTAGTAGGAGTAATAAGGCCATTATTATTATTATTATTATTATTATTATTATTATTATTATTACACGTACATAGAAGGCGTTGATTAATATTTGTCCAAAACAAGCGGTTTATTAACTTTTATCACTGAACATGAATTACCTACTGAATATTGATAAATCTGATGAAAAAAATTCAAAACAATCTAGAAATTTCTCAAAAAATAATAATAATTCTTGTTATCATCGTCGGTGTGTTGTTGTTGGTTGACCTTACAAAAAAAAATACGGTATATATGTGGCTAATTCTGACAAAACAAATACATACAGCACAAAAATTCAGATTATATGTAATGAGTTATTTTATTGGCAATGAAACTAGACAAAAGAAAGCTAAAAATATAAAATGGTGTAGTTTTTTTCTTTCTGTACTGTCTAATTGAATTATGATATTTGGTTTGTGTAAATAAATATGCGAGTTGAATGGTTAGATCAAATGATGATGTATTAACACAAAAAAACAACTTTTTATATGGCTGTAGAGATGAAAAAACCTGGAAGCACTGAATAGCTCAGTGATCTAGGGATTAAGTGCTCGCATGCGAGATCAAACGTCCCGGTGTTGATGCCCGCTGGCGAGGGTCGTGAGTCCTGTACCAAGATGAAACGGCCATCCAGTGCTTCCAAGCCGCCTACAATCGTGGTCGATTCATGATTTCAATGAAACAAGTCATGTATATGATAGTTCTTCTGATTGACACAAAGACATATAGTCAGAAACCTTGAGTAGTAGTAGGTAGTAGTGACTTCCTTCAATAGTGGCATAAATAATAGTCTGTCATGAAATTGTATTAATGATTGAATAGACGACAATTGATTCGTGGATAACTAAAATTTAGTTTCCAAACAAATTGGAATAACTTCATGACTCTGTGATGAAGTGAAGCTATCTATTTGACTGTTTAAGTGACATTTACTGTTGTGAAAAGTTCTCAGGTGTAAAACTACTCTGTTAGCTGCTTATATTTATTCCATTCATCAGGAATTTCATTTTGAATCTAGTCATTAATGAGCTTATTTCCAGTCAGGATTGGTTGGTGGTGGTCTAAACTATGAGAATCTTACAAACTTCATTAACTTCCTTTAGTAGTGTGTATTGTATATTTCATCCCCTAACTATGACCATTATCTTTTTCATTCACAAATAACTGTTGATTAACTTTGAAACCATTAATCATACTGTGTATCGGAAAGGTTGTAGCAATGTACACCATTTTTAGTATGTTATGAACTCATATTGCATGTGTAGGTAATCATTTAAGTTTTAGTTCTCAGTTAAATAGAATATAGTCACCTGAATTTTTTAGCGTTCTTATTGTTAAGTGAGTTGATGAAGAGATATTTCTTAGTTGATAAATCTCCCTTCGTTAAGTTGTGAAATAACACAAATATGTATGAAGATTTAATCCGTGAACCGATCAATGTTAGATCACCATTAAAAACCTAGAAGCACAGAACAGCCATTTTGTTTCGTTATGGAACTCTTCAGCAATGAATATCCAAAATCCTACAAGAGGGAATCAAATGCTGAACGTTCGCTCTCACGCGCAGATGCCTAATCTGTAGAAAGTTGTTAGTGTCTAATTTCAACTTATCCACGACATAATGTAATCATGGTGTTTCATTGCCTTTGGCAGTTAGCTACGACAATCTCCACAACCCCTTAACTGAAAATTATCGTGTTCTCACTAATGACTAGCTTTCTGAGGAAATTTATGATGTTCTAGTAAAAAGCCGTAACCAGTGAAGTGAGTGATTTTGATTTAAACTACCTGCCTACATTATTTTGGCTGTTATTCACATTAGGATATATATGTATATATATATAATTATACAATGTGTAAAAAAACATATCTTCAACATCTGTTATACAAGTTAGTCAATAGTTAATGTGTACATATCTATTTTTAATGAAAATATCAATAATTACTCCCTTTAATAGATTTTGATAGAACTGTGCGAAGACAGAATTGATCTGCAAAAATGTGATGTATTTTCGCAATACGTTTTGAACAATATGGTCATACATATATATGCATTTGGCAATTTTATCTGAAAATTAATGAAAGTCAATCAAATAAAAGTTCAAATGAACATACGGTGATAATTGTAAATAAAGGAGAGGGGCAGAATCAACATACTATACCGTGAGGACTTGTGGCAGTGTCTGTCAATAAAAGAAGTACAATAACTTTGTGCAAGCTCTCTACTAGAACACTACTAGTCAAGTCAAAAATTATGGTGAACTGATTACTTCAAGTAGTGTCCGTAAGGGTTGTACACTAAGTCAATGCGCATTCAACTTTTGTCATTGACATGCGCTTAGAGACGACACTTTCATCGTCTGACTCTTCAGTTGACCTTCTACCAGGAGACTCCTCAGCAGACTTATAACACACTGATAACATAGTTTATTCGATGAAGGCACTGATAGAATGCAGTCTTCTGACCATCTTAAGCAACAATCCAAACATGTTGGGGATGCTATTCCCCTCCTTCAAATGCAAAATGTTGCTTCACGATTGACTTGCTTCGGTACATGAACTAGTAATAGGGAGTGAAGTACTTTAGTGTCCACTGCTTCACTTGTCTGGGGTGTCTCATCAGTTCTGAGTGCCTGGTGTGTGACGGGATGTCAGCGCGTATACAAAAGGCTGGACTGGTTTTCCCCGTCACTTTTGACCTAGGTGAGCTATCCATCTGCCGACCGATGGTCAAGTTTGCTGCTCAGCAGTTCACTTCGTCCTATTAAACGGGTGTGAAACATCGCCACTAAGAAGTAAGGACATTCGTAAGTCACTAGCATTCTATCAGAGGGGTCTCATCGCTCAAGTAAGCATTTCCGGGGTGAAGAAAAGGATACTGCTAGGTAAGAATGGATGACGTAGTGAATTTTCATTTGTTGAAGTAGTTGGGATGTGTGTTACAAACTTCCTACCACCTACTCCCTTGACGAGCGATGTTTTGTGTTGTAGAGGTAGGCTGGAATGAAGCCATTGGCGGCCAAACCATACATTGCACAAATCTATAAATTCACTGACAAGTGAACCGAGCCATGTTGGTAGGTGTGGACTAACTGGTCGGGGTTCACGAGGCAGTAGTAATCGATGGTTAGAGACCTTTAATGACATGGCTTAAAATTGTTTGCAGTGGCGCAGGTGCATCCATTCTTTATCTTCTATCAAATTCTAGTCTTCTGAATTCCTCCTCAACTTTGTCTTTCTCCTTTTTAGTTTATTTCACGGGGATATACTTCTTGAATAATATTTTCGACCCCTAATCTCCATTACTGTTAATACTTCTACCACTATGGTATTTGAATTGACTATTGCATCTCTGTGCCAATTTGGCAACTTGAACTGATATGCTTACGTACGAAGTTTTACGTTGTAGCTGACTGACTGACTTCTATACGACGTTTTAAAAGGTCAGTCCTATGTCCCGTTTCGATTATGTGTTGCGCTGTTGATGAATGTGGTTTTATATTTTTCACGTCTATCGGGCGATTTGACGTAGACTGATTTTGAAGCCATTTAGGCACACGTTCCATAACTCTTGATCGTATTGTCCGATCACTTTATGTCAATGTCCACAAAAACATATAAACTAATAAATGCTATGGGACATGGCGTAATCCCGCTTACAATATGTTAACGGGACATAGACGGAATTAAAACATGATTGCGTTAGCTGCACGCTGACTGGCTGATTCCTATCCAATTAGCGCTAGTCGATACTTAAATAATATTCTAGAAGCTTCTCATGTAAAAACTATAAAGATAATAACGTTGTTCCTATTTCGCCCTTGCTTCGGCTTCTTCCTTTCATTTAACCTTGCTGTTTGGAATAAAATCTCTTCCCTGTTCAATCGTGTTCTTTTTCGGGGACTTGTCGAATGGATTGGTGTCCGAGAATACTAAGCAATAGGAATAGCTGGGTTTTATTAAGAGAGAATTATAACACAATGTCTATGCCTATGTTGAGTTGTGGGCCTAGCACTTTCAATTATAACCAATATTGCTACGTGTTATGTTTTCTCGACGGCTGCTTTTAATTTCTGTCTTAAAATCAAACTGAACGGTAGAGAGAAGTACACGCTTTTCTTAGCGGAATTAACAAGAAGATTTTTCTATCGATTAACTTTTACACATATTTATAAACTTTAGTGGATAATTATTTAAAATCAATGTTTCAGTCAAGAATTTCACATCATTTTCAGGTGTAGTTCAGATACCGTGAGTCCTATTTAAGAGTCATTTTACCAAGCCTTGCTTATTTTACTGTAAACAAAACTGAAAATTTAAATTGTCCAGTCGAGGTTGGCTGCCTATAAACTGACCACTTTATAGTCCTATCCTCCCTTCAAATCAAAAGTATGTCTGAAAATGGCAATCACTTATAACTTTCTTCTTCATAGGCCGTTACGATATCATTTTGTACTTTACTGAATTTATCTAGTAACTGAGAAGCATTGAAATCTTAATCACATCTAACCACCATATATCTCCTGTCTAGGGTTAGCTCACGAAACATATTACCAACATCAGCTACGAGAGTCCCCAAAGAGCTCCTCATAGCAACGCCGTAAAAATGAAGGAGAGCTAGGTCTTCTTAGGAGTCCAAACCTTTTAGCTTCATCCCAGCTGTCCACTTTCTTCTGTGCTTCCCTTGAGATGCCGAGGTTTTTATAATCCATTCAACCACTAGAAGGAAAAGAAAGGACGAGAGTAATAATCCCTCTCTGACACCAGATTTCTACTGGAAT